ATTGCAACTTTCTCTGCAGTCTCGATTGTTGGGTTCTCTCGTCCGCAAAGCCTTGTCTTCAGTTAATTTACCCTCAATATAGGCCGAGCACCACCGTTGGCGCGAATTTGAGACGGGGATTGACGTGGTAGTGGGCATTAAAGGTGTGCATCCGCGCCCTCTCTTCAACCCATCCCTCTTCCTCGGAGCATCTGTCCTCATCGATGCGGTCTTCTCCGCTGTTTCTGGTCTTTGTGGGTCCTTTGGAAGGCCGTTTCCTAGGCATTGGCGGACACGAAATATTTCGTGGCGTCAAAACGTGTCTTCCTTGTTCGCACATAAACTCTCGTCTTCGCGAATCGCGTGCCACAATTACTCACTGGTTACCATTCTAGATCCTGCTGAACACCAACCAACGATATCTCGGAGGTGTGTCGATGTGTGCCCTCGTCTTGCACAGAAGTGCTTATTGTGATTCGTGCAATCTCCAGTCTACCTTCTTAGGTCTCTTTGCTCAATATCTTGAATCTCAAATTTCGATATAAACCCCGCGCTTGCAGCATCTGTTAATGGCGGAAGCCACCGCGACATTCAAGGACATCCCCGAACTTTTCGAGGTGTGTGTCATGGACTCTCCATGTCCCGCTGCTGAGCGGACGTTCTGCAGGTCGACCTCGGCGAATCACTCACCGCCCGCACCGAGAGCCTCTGTGAGTGTGGCCCACCTCACGCGAACCTATCGTCTGACGCGGCGCAGCAACCTTCAGAGAGCTCGGGCCACCCGACTTGTGCCATGTCGTGAAAAGCTCTGGAAAGACCGGCCAGCGCGATCTCGGCTCGTACCACTTCGTCTCGGGTGTCGACGCCTCGTCCTCTGCATCCCTGGCTGCGTACATCAACTCCCTCACCTACGCGATCGAGGACTCGAACGCGTGGTTCTCCAAGACCCCCGCGTGGAAGGTGCGCAACGGCTGCTACTGCTGCTTCAATGCCTTCTCGCGGGTCGACTTCCGCGTCGACGTCAAGATTCCCGGAGGAGTGAATGCGTATGTAGTGGATCTGCGGGGCGAGCGGTGCGTCGCTGCACTTCTCTTTCTATTTGGTGCAGCTCTGACATGGGCTAAAGACATGAAGCCACCCCCGAGATGTGGCAGGAAACGTTCGTCTCGGCCCTCCTGCGAGCAATCCTCTACTCGGACGACCCTACACATTCCCTCGACGCGTACCGCAAACTCGACCCCATCACATCTCCCGAAGGCGAACTACGCTTCCTCGCTGCAGCGGAGTCACTGTTCCTCAAGGGTGCGGACCCTTCATTTGTGTACCCGAGCCTCCCGCTCACTCCAGGGCAGGCTGGCAAGTCGGCTCCGATCCAGAGATTCAGGTGGCGTCGGTGACGACGAACCACCTGACTGCCGGGCTGCTCAAATACTTCGGCGCCTCGGGGCGCTACCAACAGGCCGCGAATTTGTTCGAAAAGATCGCCGCGCGCGAGCCCGAGGTCTCCTCCCTCCTCGCACGCGCGTACCTCGGCATGAGTGCGCGTCCTCCCTTCTTCATCTGAACGCACGTTGACCTCGGACCTGCAGACGAGGAAGTCAAGGCGCTGCAGATAATGTCGGCGGCGCTGCGCGGCGCGCCGGGCCCCGCATCCTACACGCTGCTCCATGTGCAGTGTGACTTTTTGCGCGACAAGGGCCGTGCCGATTGGGCGCTCAAGCTGGCACGGCAAGCGGTCAACGCCGCGCCCAGCGAGTTCGTCACCTGGGAGAAGCTCACGGAGGTGTACGTCGAGCTGGGGATGTTTGAGTCGGTGCGTACCTGTGCGACGATTCTGTCCTTGGCCTTGATTGCTGACGTTCATGAATGTAGGCATTGCTCACACTCAACTCGTGTCCGATGTTCACGTTTAATGGCCGTGACGCACACCGGCAGCTCACGCCCTCGCGGGTGCACCTGCCGTTCCATCGCTCGATCGGCGAGATCTTGCCGGATCGAGTGAAGACGGAGGATGACGAGGTACGTGTCTGAAGGGACTCTCCTCTCTCCTTCACCGTTGTCTTGTTATCGACTATTAACCAACCCCTCAGGCTGACCCTGCACTACAACGCCTCCCTGCTCCCGGGCTGCGCGGCACATGGGCACGTGCCTACGCTCTGCTTACGCGACTCGTTGCCCAGATCGGCTGGGATGAGCTGCTGAAGACCCGGAGTGCCGTGTTCGTGATGGAGGAAGAGTACCGCATGCAGAAAGCGCAGGGCGATATTGCGGGGCACACGCGCACCGAGTCTGCCGAGGGCACGACGCTTGCGGATGGCGACGAGGATAACGCGTCGACGCGGGGGATGGTCAGCCCTGGCGGGAGCGCCGTTGCGACGAGTCCGGAGAGTGTGACCGCGCCCGAGTTGAACGGGAACGGGAACGCCAATGCGAACGAGAACGGCGGCATACCGACGATCCGCATCTCGACAGAGTCGGATCGCGAGAAGGATAAGGATGCGGCTGCCACTGCGGCGGACACGCTGGAGCGGCCGGTGCAGGCGGCGGCGGGCGACGAGGAGGCTGATCTCGCCAGCGCAGACAAGGATGCGAAGAAGGGGAAGGAGCCGGCAGTGCCTCTACAGCAGGAGCCGTTCTCGTTCAGCAACAAGCGCCTGTGCGAGCGATGGTTGGACAACCTATTCATGGTGTTATACGAGGTGCGTGGTGTTTTTTTCTCGGCTGATCCATCATTGACGGTTTCCGCAGGACTTGCGAGTATGGACGATTTTCCGCGCGGAGGTGGCGCATTTCAAGACGCAGCACGTCGCGTACCGCAAGACGGGGCTCGAGTGGGAGATCTTGGGCGATTTGGGGATGCGGCTGCATCACAAGGAGGAGGCGAAGGAGGCGTATCAGCGCTGTCTTGACACGCCGCGGTACTCCGTCAAGCCGTGGAGTAAGTTGATGGACATGTATGCGGACGAGGGCGACATCCAGCGGTCGATACAGACGGCGATCCGCGTTGCGGCATACCAGTATGCGGAGTACACGGAGATGACGGTGCGTCTTGCTTGAGAGCTGAAGTAGCAGCCCGCTCATAGCGATTCATAGTACCCGACCCAGATTGCGCAGTGTTTCTTCAAGCTGGGGCACGTCCATGGGCACGCCAAGATCCGCTACACGCTCCTCAGCATGGGACTCCCCGAGCCGATTCTCAAAATTATGGACAGCTACCTGCAGTATGGCACGACGTTCAAAGTCGAGGGTTATGATTTCTAGTCTCGTTAAAAGGACGGCTGCATATTCCGTCTAATACCTGCTATCCTATTTACTTTTTTTTCGTAAACCTTTCGCGTAGGTCTGGCGACCGACAGCAGCGATTCTAGTAGTACGATTCGGTACTTATGCTATTGTGTTTTTGCGGTTCCCCAAGAAGATTACAAATGAGTATGTATGCGTAGGTATAAGTATACAGTCGACTCTAAAGCTATGGCGGAGGGACCCTCCAGTACTCGCTCGGTGTAAAGCCCGTCGTGAGCGCCGTGACGGAATTGCGGGCGGTGGTGAGCAGCGGGGCCGGGACCTCGCCGTCGGTGTCCTCGTCGAATCCCGTGCCGAGCTTGCGTGCAAGCTCGCGCACGGCGTCATCCTCACGCACCCAAGCCCCTTCGCGCGCCTCGGTACTCCACCATGCGACTGCGCGTGCGCGGAGGTCGGGGACGCGCATTACGGCGCCGCGTGCGAGGCGCAGGAGCTGCAGACGCAGCGCAGTCTGCTCTGCGGTGCGCATTGCCGTGATCGTCGGGTTCACGAGGGCGGCGGCGGAAATGGAGGGCGGGAGCATGTGTACCAATGGGGGAAGGACCAGGAAGAGTGCCATGCGGAGAAGGTACAGGTTGTCGTGCCACTGCACAAAATAATAGGTGAGACGATAACGTATGTAGTGAGGACGTGGCGTACCATGAAGACCGGTGAGTCGTCCTTTGGAATTTGTATCGGCTCAGACGAGATAAAGTACGCTTCTAGGCAGAAGGCTCCGGCCACGGTGGCGACAGCCAGCGTGCGGTAACGCTCGCGTCCAGAGTTCTTGATGGTCACCAGCTGCAAGAAACGCTCAGTCTGAGGACGGAGTTGGATGAATTGCCATGCTTACTCCGATGACTGCAGTTTCCCAGATATATGAAAGCAAGGCTCCCGGCAGTGCGAACATCCCGAAATCTTCCCAAGAACGGCAATAGTCGCAGCTTGAAACCACCGAGTGGCCAAAGCTGACCGAGGCAGAAATTCAGATGGGATCTATGAGTTAAAGGGGCCTCCACGCACCGAACATAATATGTCTTGACGTCAAAAGACCGCAAGTGTTTGAGAAGGGTTTCGAGTGGCTTTGGAAGATCTCCCGTGTCCGACTGCGTGAGCAGGATGCTCCGAATCGCGTCGGAGGGGGTGTTTAGCGGTATCTTGAGACGTGTAAAGATGTTGACCGGCGGTAAAACGATAATCTGATACAGAAAGTAGAACGAGTGCAGCAGGAGAAATATGTTGAGCAGCGATCGAGTGGAGGTCAAGGGTCGGCCGGGAGCTTTGTGGATGCTCAGGTAGAACCATGGGACCACCAGAGCAGCCGCGGTTGCGGCGAAGAGGACGAGAGAGACCCCTGCAGCCATCGCGTCAAAATGGAAAGAAACACGTCAGACGCCGCGACATACAAAAGGTCACGTGCAAACTCTCCGCTGGTGCCGAAGCTTGGCCTATGCTGCATGCACGTTGAGAAAAAGAAAGAAGGTGGAGATGGGAGCAGTTGGTATTACAAAGTTGGAGCATGCATAATAACAAGGTGATTTCAATACAGCGCCCTAACTCTCCGCTTTCGCATTATAATAACAGCAAAAACCTGAACCGGGCCAGGATCGAACTATAGACCTTCTGCACTCACAGAAAATGACATGTGGACGTACCAAGTGACGGCCGGCTGGGTTACAAAAAAATAGGGATTCCGCGTTTGAAAACGTCCAAACTCTTCCCTTCCTCTGCAAAAAAGCTGAACCCGCCCAGGATCGAACTGGGGACCTTTCGCGACAACATAACAAATGTAAAGCGAATGTGATGAACCACTACACAACAGGTCCGCGGCACCATTAGGAAGTGAAGGGATGAGGTGGGATGAAACGAGGAAGAAGACAAATGCAAAATAAAGAAAAAAGCTCGATGATCGGATAAAAATTGGGGGAGAAACGAAATAAACATCTTGGAAGACACCCGAGGACTGTGGTCATCTTCCAACTTGAATGGTGTGGAACAACCGTCTCAACGATTGACTCAGATTCGTTGAGTGAGGGTTGAGTTTTCAACTTGAACATACACGTGATCCCGTCAGCCATCAAAGCCAACAAAGGCCAAACAAGCGCATCGTTCACCTTGTTCTTGACTCTCATGGCGGACGCGTCTGCAGCGCCCCGACGGTCGAACCGAAAACCTAAACCTATTCGACGTGAACCATCTTTACCCCCAGAAAATGTTCCATCCAAGCGGAAAGCCAAAGACGACGTGGACCACGCAGAAAAATTGTTGCAAAATCCAAAAAGTCGTCTCACCAAGATGGACATATCTGTGCGTTTCTGCCTGAACACGCGGCAGGAGCTCAATTTATAGGTACATCCTCAGGACCTTATTAACGCCAACTCGTGGAATATGCTCTCACCAGACTCACAAACTCGACTCGCAGCTTTTCTTCCCCCTACTGCTTTCCGTTCTTTCCAGCCTACTCTCGGACCCGACCATCCCGCCGCAGCAGACCTCATGAACGTTGACTCCGGCGACGCCGGGCCCTTGGATACATCTTTTTTTACCGACGCCCATTTTCTTGCCGCTGCACATACCTTCCAGGACCACTTGTACTCCAATTGGCTATCTGACGCACATGCTGAAAAGGTGGAGAAATACACTAAGGGGATCCATGATGGTAGTCTTGCAGCTCCGTGGAAAGACGAGGTTTGGGAGCGGGATAATCAAAACGAGGAACCGACGGTAACCACGGGCTCGCATACATCTTCCGTGCTTGCAGGGTATGCCATTTTTTTTTCTTGTCGCACACAGAGCCACTTTGTCTCTTGCTCAACTCGGCGCTCTAGGGAAGCGTCAGAACTTAAACTTGGTGATCTTGCGAAGAATTCCGTTCTCCGCGAAGGCGATGTATTGGCCTACAAACGCAACTTCACCAACCTCAATATCTTCGTTGAGAAAGACGCCATCGTGAGGACCCTACTTCCTGCGGATGCCCATGCTAATATCTCCCACGGCCGAAGGTACAACGAATTGATCCCCGCACTCACAGCTTGACGGTATTGGTAGAGCCCGGTACAACGCGCGATCTACCTGCTCACCTCCTGATGCCGGGACCCTCCGACCCCTCCGCTCCGACACGTTCCATGACGATAACGAGTCCTACACAACTCGAGAGTGGACTGCTTGATATTGACGGCAGGGTCGAAAGAACCAAGAGACCCCATGGGAATGCGTGGAAAGCAATGACGCTATGGCGCTGGCCAGGAGATGCATTAGGAACAGAGGGCGGACGCGGAGGTAGGGAGGCACATGGCACGCTATTCTATTTGAGGGCGTGTCATTATCAAGATAGGTAACAGCTACGGACTCCTCGCGATGTTCTTGGTGTACCTGCTATCCTCTCCACGCTCGTTTTCCTGGCCAATGTTCTGCTATCAACACCAACGGACTCTATTAATAAACGTTATCAGTGCCTTGGAGCTCCCAGAAACTGGGCTTTGTTGTCCAGAACGAAGTCTGCGATCTCTTTGACAAGTTCTGCACCCCTCGACCGCTTGACTACGTCCGTGTCCTTGAGTTCTTGTGTTTTCGGTCCTGCGAGAGCTTCTCCCACTCTGGCAACCTGTCTTCTCGTCCTCCGACACATCGATGTATACGATCTGCAGCAGCGGGCCGTTGAATGGACACGGTACGATATAGCGACTCCAGGAGAGGATAGCGATCCAAAAGTGAGCCTTTGGATCAGAGTATGAGCCTGAACTGTCTCCAGCAGCGTGTATACATCGATTCCAAGCTGTTTGCCTGCATTGTCTAACAGTTAAAACTTAACTGTGAGACACGAAGTCAGAACCGTAATGACCCGCACAAATCTTTCGCGGCGCCCTCGTTCTCAACGCGATGTCGACGACGCTACCCATTGACGACTTTCCGCACTCGGACAGCCTACGTAGGGCAACCACTATTCAGAGGCGCTGCCGATGGGGAAATGATTTCAGCATCATACGGCCTGACAATCCCGTCAGCCTGCGAGGAACGCTTCGAGGAAGAGACAGCGTAGATGATTCTGGACGTCTAAAACTCTTCTGTTGTGCGTGCCGACGATAAACCGCGGGTCCCAGGCCGCCAGCACGAAATCTAATATTTCAAAGCAGGATCGCTTTCGTCCGGTTGTCGGGAGCCCGAATTGGTGAATACGATGTGAGTATTCCTGTCCAGGCCCGGGATCCGTTCTTTATAAACATCAGTTTTCCATCGTTCAGGTAGTACGCCTGAACTGATTCCGACCGAGCGAGGAGATTTCGCTCATAATCGTCGGGCGTCAAAGCCGGCATGGGAATGACGGGTTCAGTCCGATGCTCTTTCATAGTGGCACACCGGATGCGGATGAGGCTTGAAGAAAATGGGAGAATATCAATCTGGGCATCCAAAAATCCCAGTTGCCAGAGGAAATGTCGGCGCTGTTGTGTACGATGAGCAGACTGCATGTCACGAATCAGGGATATTTTAATGAGGCAAGGATACAGCGGGGGCGAAAATAAGTGGGGAGGTTCATGACCGTTGTTCGTTCGCTCTTCCCAGTGGAAGGAACTGGCTTCAATCGATACCCAGCTCACTCAGTTCGCACCAGAGAATGTCATGCAACGAAATAATTCCGAATTAATGTTTCCGGAGTTGGATATCGGATAATTTCAGCAGCCTGAGCTCGGATTGAGGGACGGTTGGCTTTGTCGTCCTGCTTTTCTGAGGGGCCAGGACGCAAAAACGCACGTGTGGCGGTGCTCATTTACACGTCCGTCACAGCACACGTGGTATATGTCACGTTGAAGCCCCTGAGTCCTCAGAATCATCGTTCATGAACTCCAGACCCATGAAACAGTCCAAAATCCAAGCCAAGATGCAATTAATACGCGTACACTATATAGATAGTCCTACTACTACTACCAAGTACCTACGGGACGAGATCCACTCCGGGTAGATATGTGAAAAGCACAAGCGATATCTAGACTACTCGAGATGCTGTGTACAACCGGGTCAAGGACAAGAAAACGAACGCAGATCCGAAAGCAGAGCAAGAAACGGGACGGGACGGGACGATACAAACGGTTAGTATGTACAGGTTGGGTGTGTCGCGGTTGGCGCGGGTCGTTAATGGTCGAACAGACGAAAAGAAAATTAGAAATGCGAGAGAGAGATGACACTTAGCAGGTCTTTTTCACAATGCACAGGCGTAGTGGTTGATGGATGGCGATAAATTACTTGTGGTTCTTGTTCTTGCAATTGGCGAAAAAGTTGATGTTGAAATGTTGCTGCGCGCGCTCTCATCGAATGGGTATCTCATGCTCATCAGCCGAAGCAGCCGGAGGGCCACATGATATTTTCAAAACTAAGACCCCATCCTCCATCGCCGCATCGACGTCTTCCGGCTAGCGGAGAGAACAGAGGGGGGTAGATCGTTGGCATACAAAAAAGACGGGTCAGACATAACGGGACAGCAGGGAACATGCGCACTTTCGTGTCGGGGGGCACAGAGAACGCGCGCGTGAAGCGGCCGTACTTGCGTTCGCGGTGGACCACGGGGGCGGGGGCGCTTGGTGTGGAATGCGGAAAGGGCGGTTGGGAGCGGCCGTTGACGGTGACCTGCCGGACGCGGTTGAAGAGCGTCGTCGCGAGGGTGATGGTGAGGTCGTGCCGCGTGATCCCGGGGAGCTCGAGCAGCGCGGTGAGCACCCGCGTCCCCGGGTCGTAATGCGTGTCCGTGCGGATGGTGTACCGTCGCTCGTCCGCCGCCGGGGTTGGGCTCGCGTGTGGAGGTCGACCCAGCGCCACCAACGGGCCAAAGGTCCCTTCGGCGAGCGGCGAGGTTGCTACAAAAGCCGGCGACGGCCCGCCATACTCACTAGAGCGCTGGTGAAACGACGCGACGAACGACGGAGCGGACGGCACACCTCATCGGCGACGCGTACGTCTGTCTTCCTGGCGCGGGCGAAGGCAGCGCGGAGCCTGGCGGCGGCGCCCCTCCATAGTCACTACTAGACAGTGAACCACAAAATGGAAAACGGAGCTGACGGCACACCTGAACGTCTGTCTACCTGGTGCAGGTGAAGGGAGCGCGGAGCCAGGCGCCGCCTGCGGGGTGTTGCTCTGGCTGGCGAACCGAACGTGATGGTGCGCCTCAATCTCTCGGCGCTGGGCGGTGCTTTCCGACGCGCTGGACGGGCGTTGATATGGATGATATTGGTGAGGTCTTGCGCGCGATGCCGGGCGCGTGCTGGGGCCGGCGTGGGCAGTCGATCTGGTTGTGGTATCGACATTTAACATAACAGGCTTAATCTCTACCGGGGGCGAGCGCCCTGGCGGATGAAGACGTATGGGAGTCAAATCATGTGTTCCCCGTGGTGGTATCTGACTGGGAACTAAATGTTGGGGGTCTTCGATATGGTGCTGCTGCGGCTGTTGTGGCTGGTATGCCGGTAATGGTGGTGGTAATGATAATGGCTGCTGCGACGAGTCGGATGCTTGTGAGTCTTGTTGCTGCTGTTGCTGTTGCTGGTCCCACTGGTAGCTGGGCTCGCGCGGGGTGGTAGGAGCTGAATATTCATCGGTGGGGTACTGCCCGCCCTGTTGGCCTGGGTAGTACGACATGGTCAAGAGCAACCCGCAAACGGGATCAATTTACCTTTTATACATCCCGAGTCATCACGGGTCACACCCGCGGAAGCGGATCTAAAAGAGGAAACAATGGTACACGAGGCGGCTATTTGCTCGTGTTTGTTAGCACAGCCTCCCGACGCCCGACACAAGCTCAAAAAGTGGTTTGACTATAATACATTTATGGCGTCTATGG